TGAACAATATACTATTATCATACAAAAATTTAACTGAACCAGAGACTAGATGACAAATTATATATAGCATAAAAAATATTAAACTAAAAATTGCATAATATTCAAAATACATTATGGACATCCAGATTTGAAAGGGTTTTGAATGTCCATCGCTTGTTTCAACTCAACGTTATTTCTTATTCAGACTAAGGATTATTGATCGAAATATTATAGTGAAAAAATACAATTTGACATTTATATTAAACAGTTTTATCATTAGATATTTTCTATCAGCTATTTTACCGAAAATATTTTGTATAGGTTGAGTAAAACGTAGGTTTATGTATATGCAATTTTTGTCCAGAACATATCACAAAATAATTATCACAAATAATAAAAGAGAAAAATGTGACATTTCTCTGTCAACGATGATTTTATTGAACCATATGAACAAAAATATGAAACAAAATTTGATCAATACATTCTAATAAAGAATTAATGTCACAAATTTTTCGAGTATTGATTCTCGTTTTATCATCTTATGCTAAGAAACTTGGTTGGAACATGGTTATTTGAAATAATTAACAATAAATCAGAGAAATAATTTTGACATTTCTACCATTAAATTCTTTTGGTATTAGAAGTCACATAAGTTCAATGATTTTGTATAAAATATGGAAAAATGATTTTCTCAAAAACGCCCCATCATAAAACTGATGAAATGTCCTGAAATGTAGCTATACTCTCCTTTATATTTAAAAAAAAAACTGAAACCATCGTCCAACTATAAAGCATCGATGAGACTGAGACAAATCAATACAAGTTACAAAACGATAGTGATTTAAGATACACAACATATCAACTTGAAAATATCTCATCATAAAACTGATGAGACAATCTGAAATGTGATCCTTGTAAATTGAACAATCTTTCCTATGAGCATTTCATGAAGCCCATCTCAAACGTTGGTAATAATACTAGTTATATGATTGACTTTCTAGATTCAGATGTACAGGGCCTTCAATTTATATTTTGAGCCAACCTCTGAGCTTTTTTTAATTTCAGTTCTCAGAGAACATGAATTTCACATGTCATATTTTCTTGTATATTTCAAATACATAAACGAAAAATCATATGGGTATAATTAGCACTAATTATAATTGAAGATTGACATTATTGAAGAAAGATTCTGTGGTGTTTTGGAGTGAAATCAAGTTGAACATCGAATTACATGCCATGTTATTTATAATATTATTTTTTCTGTGACGGGAAAAAAGTTTGGCATTTCATCTCTGTTGGCAGGTTATAAAATGTCACTTTTCATAAATTACTTTTTTCCCGTGGGAAAAAAGTGAGGTCTTTTTTCCCGGATATATATCACATATATATACACTGTTGATGGCTTTTGTTGTGCGATAGTACCGAAAAATGAGTCAATAATACCGTCTCCGAGAAAGAACTGCAAGTCCTTTTATCTTCCATTCGACTTCGCGGTTACGTATATTACTAAACAACCACTAAATTCGCAATTTTTTGAAATCAAATCACAGAATTAGACTGACAGAAGTGACATCAGATATTTGATTACTTCAAAAGAATGATAAAGATGCCTATAACGCAGGTGTCCCTACTGTTAAAAACTTAACATTTCACGTCGATAATTTTCAGATTTGAAAATAATGTAATATCTTCTCGATATTGATTCGTCCTTTCTTCTGTCACAGAAAAAAATAGTGTATTATACACGGGAAAAATATTAGATTTTAGCTCACGGTTTTTTGTCTCCCTCCGCTACGCGTCGGGAGACAACACAACCTGGAGCTAAAATCTACTACTTTTTACCCTTGTATAATAAATAACTATTTTTTCACATGTAGACTTCGTCCACTCGTGAGATTTGTGTTGCAACAAAGTCGTTGAATCATCGAAAAATTGTGTAATTACTGTTGAAAATTCCACACCAGTTATTTTTACCAATCAAATTGGGTTCTTTTGACTAATCAGCATAGCCATGTATGTATTTTGGTGAACATTTTTTCCCTGGGTACCCAACAAGCGAATTGAATAAGGAATTTTTTGTCGCTTCAATGACAGAATAATGATATGATTTCCTACCACTTCCAACTCAAAATTGATATAAAATGGAAGAATATAATATGTTACAATCTAAACTGATATTTTCAGGCACCTACAAGAGACAGAAATCAAGAATTTGTAAGCTAGGAATGTATTGGTGCAGAAATGGAAATCAAAGAAGAAAATAAACTCTGGAATCATTTCATTTTCAAACACAATCTGGTGTTATATTTTCTTAACGAACACCACACGAGGTTAATTTCTGGAAATTTTTTTGAACTCATGGATATTTTGTAAATTATTCAGAATCGAAGACGAGGGCAAAGACTACAGATGATAATGTAACCTCTAGTGATATCACAAGTGAGGACTTTTATGTAGAATTTTCTTGTCATAATAGTTTTTAATTTCATGTATAATTTTTGGCATTTTATTTTGTAATCAAATTGATTTGAGTCTAGAACTGAGCATTTCATCGAAGTCAAACATTAGTTCATTAGTAGGTACCTAATTTGTAATGAGATATCATAAAATGCATAAAAACATTTTTTTCGTTGACCTCTGCAAAAAATCACATTTTACGATCTAATGTCCGAACGAAAAACAGACTATTTCCGAAGGCAACTACTTTTCGTCCGCAGAAACAAACTTTTCGGCCGCAAACACTTTTCGTCCGCTGCAGGGTATACATTATTTTCCCATGATTAATTTATGTATTTGATGACACGTGATTATATCCTGTAGAATGTAGATGCATACTTCATGGCTCGGAAGAGGAAAGATTGTTTGAGATCTTTGCTTAAAGAAATATAGAAATACAATTTGCCCTTATCTTATTTTTACTATTGCATAACAAGATTAAACAATTAAAACATGCCAAACCTAAAGAAAAGAACTCTTAACTTGAAAACCAGTGATACACATTACTATAAATAATTTATAAATGTGACAAATAGTCCAGCCATTAGGTAGTAATTTATCTAATCAAAATAAACCGGATTCTCCTAAAGTTGTGATAAATAATTTGTTTTTGTGATGTGAGTGCACGAGACCCTCGTCTATTTGCCTATATCATCAGAGCAGTGTTTTGACCAGATTGAAATTGATTGAAAAAAAGATGGTAATTTTGCACTTATCATGCGATGTTTTTTTTTTAATTTTTTCTTGTAGCCTACTTTTTTCGTCTGAAAAACACGAATTCGATGATACACATGTGAACAAACCACTACTTATCGAGATATTTCAAGAAAAAGTTCGAAAAAATGTAATCTTCTTTCTCCCCCTGTTTTGGTTGCATTTACAGCTATTACTTGCTCTTCTTATTTTGTCATTGAACATTTTATATATTCATGATGTACTTCAATGACACATTTTTAAATAGAAAATTCAACACGAAATATGGTTTTCATGGCGAGTTCTTCATATTCAGTAAACAATCATACCAGATGACGACCATTTGATCAATAATCAATCCAAATAAATGTCAAATGTCAACAGATTGCTTTTGAATGTGGTTACACACGCCATTATTTTGAATGACATTCTTCCTTTCACTAAATAGCGATAAATCACAAGAAAATCATATTTCTAGTTGATTTTCATATACAGTGTGTCCCGCTTTTCATAAATTCACCCTGATATACCAGTTATTAATGATGCTATTCTCTTGAAATTTTAATGGTGATTGTTAGAACAATGAAGTATTTAGCAGAGTGGACAGTTTCATTCACCATTATCGTGCAATGTTGAGGGGTACAAAAAAGGCCATTATTCGGAAAAAAGATATTAGGGTTCATTTAAAACGATTTTTTTCATCAGGTTCAGAATCAGCATCCCCAAAAACCCCCCAATTCATATTTTCAAAATCTCAAGAAAAATTCAAAATCCCGATTTTCATGACTACGCTACAAAATCACTGATGCAATTTTCTCGAAACTGTGATGGTGATTGTATGTTATTTTTTTAAATAACAATCACCATCAAGATTTCTAGAAAATCGCATCGTTGATAACTGAGATTCAAGGGATTCTTGGGATCCTGAAAATATGAATTGGGGGGTGTTTGGGGAAGCTGATTTTGAATCTGATACAAAAATTTATTTAAAATGAGTCCTAATATACTTTTCCCAAATAAAGGCTTTTTTTGTATCCCTCAACATCGCACGCCAATGGTGAATGAAACTGTTCATTCTGCTAAATACTTCCATATTCTAACATACAATCACTACAAAAATTTCAAGAGAATCACACCATTAAAAACTGAGATATCAGGGTGTATATTATACACTTTATAAATAAAATAGTCATTGGCAAATTGTTCTAAATGCGATCCAAAGGACAGGCGGAAAAGAAGGTGAAATTTGTAACTTTATAGTGAAATATCTTAATAAATAATGGTTTGTTCACATTTTCATTATCAAATTCCTGTTTTAAAGACAAAAATACGTTGGTAACAAAAACATTTTTCGGAGAAAAACCATCGCATGATAAGTGCAATTGTACCCTAAAATTTTCACGTGTGCCTTTCTCGACTTTTTCAGAATAGAACCGACTCAATTTCTGCTCAAAATCACCCAAAAGCTGGACCATAAACTTACAGTTCTCTTTTTATCGATCATTGGCAATATATCGATTTGCCATGATCTGTAAAGTCTTAATTTGACGAGCAGCACCGGTCGCATATTCATATGTTACCGACACAACTACATATAGTCGCTCCGGAAATCCGAACGATTTCATTCAAGTTATAGACGTAACTTTAGGATTCCGTCGGTAACTTTTGCCTAGATCAAGCAACGCAGTACATATCTTTATTTATTTATAAAAGGAAGGAAAATATCGTTTCTGCACAAAACCAAACTCGGCCGAAATGAACCGTCTTCCTAAAAAGTATATTTTTCGGACAATTACTATTATAGAGAACAAAGGAGACTGCTTTTTCAAACAGTCTAACGGAAAACTTCTTGAGATTTTTTAATAAAAAAAAAAAATCTCGTGAGGACTGAACTCGAGTTGTTGTGGCAGACGGGCGCTTAGCTCACTGTTGCACGGCCTCACTCAAAAACGTTTCTATGACGAAAAAACTGCATCTCTCCCACTGCCAGCAGACAGCTACAGGCTCGTTTTCAACCGTTAAGTTACAGACATAAACTGAAAATTACGTCGGTAACTTATTATTACGTGTTCGGCTCCGCTCGGAAATCCGACTGTCGTTTTGTGTCGGTAACATTTATGAATATGCACACCGGTCGGTGGCACGGCAGTTCCAAAGTCCCTCTAACATATTTTTTTTTATCTCAGATCCAGTAACACAGACACAGTTTGGTTTCTAACACAGTACGCTTTGTGTTGTGAAGAGCTTCGATTTTCCAGATTGGGTTAGAAGATTGCACATACCTATTCATGTTCCCTAAAATGGAGGAACGGGTGAGGAAAAAGTGCCTTTACTATCAAGCCTCGACAACAATCAAGATAGTCACAACATCCATAATAAGTTTCGACGTCTATACCGATCCTAAATTATACCACCATTTTTTCGATCCATGTGTTGCTATTGTAGGTTCACAACACTTTTTAGGTCCAATCGAGGAAACAAAAGTTTTTATTTCTAACGATTCCATGGCTTGCTTCTTCATTTCTGAGCAATTTGACGAACATTTTGAATGGGTTTACGGCTTCTGTTTATCAATATGGTCAGTCCCAGCCATTCTCCTTGATCATATGCGCTAACTCGATGATGAATTTGCCTTCTTTGTATTTCTGACTGGATTCAAAGGCGTGTTCCTGAAATAATATTTCGTAATTTCGTTGAAACATAATTATATAATAGTATATTGTGGGGAAAGTTTAACTTTTCTCACGAGTGTGAAAGTTTATGGCACGAGCCTGAAGGGCGAGTGATGCAAACACACGAATGAGAAAAGTACTTTTCCCCACATGTAGCACACTTTACTTTTTCTACAACTGCATTTATTTAAAGAATCCAAAGTAATGTAAATATTGGTATTCATTTTGTATGCCACATTGAATATTGTGACCAAAGAGTAGACGCCTTTCCTAGTTCCTCAAAGTATTTCAAAAAAGTACACTTTCCGAAAAAGATTTTATTTTTGTTTTCTTTTTTGATTCCATACATTTTTCGTAATGCCAATTCATACTTTTTTCTTGAAATTTCCGTAAACAAATTCAACTTTCGCATCTTTTTTCATTATCTCTGTCCCTGACGGTGTATTTATCAAAATCGTCAGATCTCGGTATACACATCATATTATTTATTATGAATGGTTGGAATAATATTTGATGAAAAATGCGATTTCTGTCAAAAGCACTAATAAGAACTACCCTAAAGAATTTGAAAAACTTCCTCTGACAGTTGTGACAACTATTCAAAGATGAACAGCAGCCAATTAAGTTTTGGTCGATTTTTGTTGATTCTCCATGGAAATGTATGTGGTGTTGGCAAAGTGCCGTGAGAAAAAATATTTCTCACAGTATGAGCAATACATGGTTTTGAAACTAAGTAAGCTATGAGAAATGCGCTACTTTTCATAGCAGTAGTAGAAAAAATTGTTTCCATCACTAGCTACATAACCTACAATTATTTACTCCTTTTCAAGGCGTTCGGTGTGTTTTTCTATCAAGGTAGTTTTCGTTATATTCAACCGGAATTCAATGTTCTGATGCGAGATTCACGGGAATGACAGAGTGTCACTCGAATCTTTTTATCAATAACGACTTGTCATCATTTGCTATCATGGTGATGGCTATTAGATTTTAATACGTATTGAAGAGAAGTGACAATAGGTCCATATTCCAGTTTCACAGAACTATAATGATAGAAATATATTGCTGGTAGTGAAAAATGTTATCTCCTGTGACGGGAAAGAAGTTTGAAATTTCATCTTTGTTGACAGGTTATGAAATGTCACTTTTCATGATATACTTTTTAGTCACGGTAAAAAAGTAGGTACTTTCTTCCCGGATTCCATATTCCATAATCGGTTAGGGATTATTATGACGAATTGAACGATACCGGGATTGATAGGGTTATCTCAAACGATTACAGAGATATTTGCGTTTGAAGTTTCCATATGGTCAATGGGTGTGACTTCGCAATATCAAAACGTCTTCTCTGTCACACTCATTGAGCATATGAAAACTTAGAACGCGAATATCTGCGTAATCGTTTGAAATAACCCTATCAAACCCGGTATCGATGAATTTGTTATGACAATCCCTAACCAATTATGGCATACAATACAGGGTGTCCCATTCAAAAATCAAAAGTTATGGTCGTTTCCAGTGGAACGAAGTGATAGAACAAAAGTTGTTTCGTCAATTAATGAGCAATTTGGTATACTAGCTGCCCACCAATTTTCAAAACCCTATCTCGAATAATTCGAAAGTAACAGTCCTGGCCGTTTTTTGTGCACTTCTCTATATACAATGTTGATGGCTTTTGATGAAAAAGCAAACGATAGAACTTAGGTATCATCCTGTAATATCTTATTCTGAGGCGATGTGATCTCGTACAGATTCAATGACCAATGATACGGGCATTCAGGAACTGAAGATAAATTGGAAATCGGAAGTTATGATGATTCGAATATGATTCTCTATTACGTTTAGTTATGAGTGTTCAATAAAATTCCTTAGAATCGTCAGCAATAAGTAATAATAATCTTTAGATATGTTCTTACATATTTCCAACCAAGGGTGGTTTTACAACATTCGCAATAAATGTCGGCGACAGCATGTAGCCCAGTCAAAAGAACCCTTTCTTCGGCAGGACCGCACCCTACATTTACACTGAAAAAAAAAACAATTATTATAAATAATCCTCGGTAGAAAAGTATCCTATAATCAGATTTTAATTTCACCGTGAACTTTATGAAAAGCCATTGTATAGGAATTTCTTGCTTTTTCCATCATATCACGCTCAGATTTATTTCAGTTCAGGGAAAAAATTAGTTTTAGTCTTAACCATTCTGCTGATAGTCCACAGATATAAAAATATTGTGCCTTGATTATAATTTTATCCTGTGGTTTCAGGTACATGTATGTATATTAGTGTCCTGAATAACGTGTGAAAAGTCCCCGAGGTAGGAGGCTACGTCAGACATTTGACAGCAGTCAAAAATCTTGCTCTAAAATGGTTTTCCGTCGACCTCGTATTAACGACTAAGTTTAATGTATATGAAATCGTTCATTAATGACCCCAATTAATGATCAATTTGTCTATTGATGCACGATTGTTTTATAGGCAACCAAACATACACCGCGTGCATTCATTGTTTATGCTATAACTTACGGAATCTGCATTTAGATAAAAAATATGGATTTCATCGAAGATTTTCAGTTAACGGGTTCGCCTTTCCAAGTGTCTTAAACGATTTCAATCCCTGTTTTCTAACACAAGGAATGATGTTGATCATTTCGACAAATTTCAAATGTCACTAATGTCAGTAACAAGGCTACTGGGTGATTCTTAGTAGTTTCCGGATGAATGATGAATATAGTCGACGGAAAAATTTTGTAACCAACTCGTATATTAAAAGGCGCTTCGCTCGCACATTAAAATATCTCGATTATTAATCGCCCTCATTAATACACTAGTTGGTTAAATAACTATTTTTCTACTTCGTGCGGACAAGTGCGGAAAAGTAAATTTGTTAGGTTTTTGGGGAGTTTACTGACATTTGAATATTTAATAATGGTGAATGTTTCTTTATGTTGACTTTTAGGTATTATCCGCATGCTAGTATAAAAAATAGTGTACCTAACACATGCGTGTAAAGTGACTTTTCCGCAGGCGATTGCTGACCAAACTCCGCTTCTGCAATTGCGTGCAGAAAAGCATCACTTGCCGCACTTGTTAGGTAAACTACTATTTCGCAATTTTCTTATTGATTCTCATTGATTTTGCATTTGCAACCAAAATACTTAAATTACAATAAGAAGATGAGATAATTCCTCGGATAATTCCAAACAAAAGAATTCAAACAATCTCCTTTTAGAGTTTGAACATTTTTTTGAATTATTTTATGCTGGACATGAAATATAAATAAGAAATAATCGAACATGAATATAACTTTGAAAATGTTGATGCATCAGGATAGAGGCTGAATCACAGAACTTTGGGGAGTCACTATACAGTGTATCTCAATCCTAATACAAAATGTATATCTATACACAAAATAATATCTATACCTATAAAAATATCGAGTTAGGTATGTACTCACACTGAGTTAAATAAGTATGCTCGTCCCTGGCTGCCTTGGAATGACTGTAAATAAAAAGAAAAATATTTCAACTTTGAAGTTTTTTATTTTCGACAAAGATTGAGGCTATCTAGAGGGATTTTCCACTGTGTGACTTACAGGGTATTTTAGATTTGAATGTACATACATACATACTGAACCAATAAATAGAGGACACTTGGTTGTTACAAATCACACCCCATTGTTGTGGCTACCGTATTTTATAAGTTGCTAAGATATAGGACTAGATATTTAATCGTGCTCCCATTCCACTCATATTACACAAAACTACATAGAAATCGACATGACATGAGAATCCAGGTTTTTTCAGGAAAAACAGACAATAGTCACAATGGTGATTAAAAATTGATAGAATTTTAAAATATTTTGCTATGAGCCTACTTTACCGTAGCTAATGAATGAACAGCAACGGGGTGTGATTTTTGGAATCATCAATGAGTCCTATCTAAATATGGTATGTACAGGGTGATTCAAACTTTCCGCCCTTGGCTTGTAAGAGGAAAAGGAAAACTGCAAAGGCAAACTTCGCAGAGGGGATTTGAAAAGCTGTGTGTAAGGTATATTTTTTCCTGTTCAAACATATTTAAACTTTTTTCAAAATCAAAGAAAAACAGAAATACACCAAGTCGGACCACAAAAACTATATTACACAAAATGTATAGTGACTAGTTCCGGCCAAACAGCCATCTTTAGACACATTAGTACTGTGTACTTATTTTTGGGGTCGACCGACTTTGTCTATCTTCGTTTTTCTTTGAAAGAATTTGAATCATTTTGAGAAGGATGGATGGTTTCAGAAACATCATTTTTCCTACAAAGTTACCAATTTTTCCTCATATTCTGAAAGAATATATTTTCCTGGAAAACTTTCATCCAAAAAGATGTTTTCTATCTTCATTTGGTTGAAAGTTATAGGACTCTGAAGTTAGTATTATTTCAAAATATATCTCAACTGAAGCCACCATAAAGAAAATCGAATCAAATCAGCCGGGTTTTAGGGTTTTAGATTTAATAGGTTTTAAATGAATGCAAAATGTATCATATTGCTTACAAAACAATTTGTTTTCCGGCCGACTCGATTTTTATTATGGCATCAGGGTCATGCAGTTGAGGTTTATTTGAAAATGACAACTTTTATAGCAATCAACCAAATGAAGATCGAAAAAAAGTATTGGGATAAAAAATCTTTGAAAAAATATGTTCTTTCAGAATATTAGAAAAAAATGTGGTGACTTTGTGGAAAAAAAATTCTGACACCATTTCCGCCATTTTGAAAAAGGTTAAAGAATGTTTAAATGCGAAGAAATAGACCTTACACACAGCTATTCAAATTCTATCTGCCAAATTTGCATTATTTGCAGTTTTCTCCTTCCTGTTATGAGCCAAGGGCGGGAAATTTGAATCACCGTATACATTTGCATGTGAAACATCCTGTATATTGAACTATCATCACCATTACCATAATACCTATCAATCTAACGTGAACTGGTAAACAGAATATCATAATGTATGACCCAGTTCCACATTTACGGAAGCGGCTGTCAATAATATTGAATAATTTAAGTGGATTAGAAACAATAATAGGTAGCGTCAATATTATGAGGAATAAGATATGAGTGTTGTTTTACTAAAATAGTCAACAACACATTTTTATTGAATTTTAGGCAAGTAGACACTTATACGGAAATTAACTGAATGTTCACTAAATATCGAGCTAAATATTGTACAATAAATATGAAATAATCGCCAGGAAATCATATTTCTTCTTGATTTTCAAATAATAATAATAATAATAGTAATGATAATATTTATTCAAAATACTAATGGAATAAATAATATAATATTAATACAAAAATACATTTTCAGGCATAGAATAAATAGTATTCCACTAAAAGAGAACTTGAAGTGTTTGATAATAATTATATTATGCAGGATGATATAATATTAACGACTATTGTGAATATGATTATCATAAAAAAATAACAATTTATGCCTGTGGGAGAAACTGGAGACAGGCAGTATTTATCCGAGAAAAAAAAGCTTGTACGATGAAATAACGCATCCAGTTGAGTCTTCCCAAGTATTTGTAGTCGTATTGTTTAACTTATGCGGGAAATTTCGATCTGGTAGCTTTTACCGTTTTAAAATTATGCATCATCAGGAAAATAATTTCAATTTCATCAACTTTGGAAGAATATATTATATCTCCCTTAATATTTTGGGCCATTCGTTTATGCATCAAACTATACCGGGTGACACAGGTTATCGGGCCACCCCTGTAACTTCTGCATTCGTCAACGGATTTTTCTGAAATTCTGTACAGTTATATAAGCAACTATTTCGGATTTGATCACATTACAATCCAATATGGCGGACTTGCGGTTTTTCTGGAAATGCCAGCAATTTTGTTTTTTCAAATGGAACACCCTGTATATTTTTACATATTCAAGTTCAACAGGTCAAAACAAGTGCAATCGTGATGTCAAATGTCATTTATTCCACAGCCTACCTAGTTGAAAAATTATTCTGAATGCAAGGAAATTCATAAACTAGTTGTTGATACAATTTGTTACTGCACCGAAAACCGAAAAACAAAAATGATATGTCATTTTGTTCCTTAATGTATGGTCTAGAGAGACGGGTAGGTGCAGGGCCTACTCTATCTTACCGGGCCGGAGCATCGCTTTCGTGACGTCACACTAGTAGGGACAAAATCAAGACAGTGGAAATTGTCTCTCCCGTTTAATTGATTTATCTCGGGAAAACGGTCACAGTTAGCGAAAAATATCAGGAGGTCAAATATGTACAGAAAAGAATTTTCCAGAAGATGAATCAAATTTCACTGATTTACGATCATTAATTTCAGAAATATGGCATATCAAAATTAATTGACGCCATTCAGAATTGTCCTTTTTCAAACAGCTACCAAAATTCCAATATTCAATTTACAGAAATGATTCAACCATGAAAAGATTTCGCATAGTATCTAGATTGACTGAGTTTTTTTTGGAAATTCCCAAGGGCCAACAACAAACCGATATTTCAATTCAAGTAGAACGATGATTCAGGTGTTCATTACAGAATAGTTCAGAAAGTTCGGACGCCTCCCATGCTAATCCTATCAACTGTGGATATATGCTGTCACTGACTTTTTTGTAGGAAATTTGATTGCCTACAAATCGGTATAATACACATCCACTTTATCTCGAAGGGTTTTAGCAGCGTTTATCTCTAAAGATGATCAGGACGCACTTTGATGACGTTCGAAATCCTATCACTCGAGTGTGTTATTACACAAAAACGCCTATTCGGTATCAATTATTTTCTGCTGAAGAGTATATATTTGAATGATAACGTTAAATTCATGAAAAAAATTTGATTTGAATATATTTGGAAACTATCAAAATTAAAAAGAACAAAATATGTGGAGTTCATATGAACACAACCTAACAAAAATAATTGAAAAAATATGTATCTCAACAATGAGAGATACAAAAATGAATATAACGAATTGAATAACAAAATACCCAGAACAACAATATATGAATAAATAAGCAAAAAAAAAACGTTGAATCCTTATACACACACAAAACCAAACAAAATAAACTGTATAAATGATCAACGTAACAAAATAAAAAAAAATTTATAGATATCACAAAATGAAATACACTAATAACAAAAAATATATATACATCATCTTAATCACAAACTAAATATTGAAATCTGAACTATATCTCATCTTGAAAGTTTAGTGATTTTTCTTTTTTAATTTTTTTTTATTTCGCAATAATTGTTCAACGGAATATTTGAAATGGTTTTAGAGAATGTTCTGCTGATTAAATCAAAAGACCCACAACTGCAACATCGATTCTCGGAATGATTGAGAAGGGAATTTATTTTAATTTCTGCTAAATTCTCCAAAACTTGTGACTTACATTGTAGAAATATTGTTTCGAATTTTTCAGACAGCAATATTAGTTGGTCTGAACCATACGCCATTCAGAAATGAAATAAAATAAAGAGTATATCGCCCTTTACCAGTCCAAGGAATTATACCGCGAAATCGTAATACAGCGAAATTTGGGTAGGTAGGTATAACGGCCCATTTTTTACGCGCTCTTTATATTTAATTTCTTTCAGACTCATTGTAGGTAACTCTACAATTTTTTCACTATTCAATTGATTCATTATCGTAGTTTGATATATTGAGTTAGTTTCATCTTATTCCGATTCCAAATTTGCAAAAAATAGTATTCTGTAGTACAACGTCCTGATTTTCAATAAAATGGAATTTCGTTACAACGCCATAACTCGGTATTGATTCATCCTATTGGATTCATTTTGTCACCAAAAGTTGAGGAATTTGTTGGGGATCATTTCGTCTCGATTGAGTGTGCTTCTAAAATTTATAGTAAATGAGCTATAGGCTATCAATTACCAACGCATCATTACGGACTGATGTGAAATCTCAACCTACTAGTGTGACGTCAGCGTCGAGAGAGAGGGGATAGACTACGGCCCGGTGAGATACAGTAGGCCCTGGTAGGTGGCCCATAGGGGTTCCATTTGAAAAAAAATAATTTTTGATCAAAAAGTGATGTGGCTGAATTGATTCCTGGATAAGTGACACAAAAAATAATTTTTCAGAAAAAATTATGTTCTTCTGTTATGTGTGAGTCATTGTGAATAGTCTTGACCACATCTCATTTATCCACGAGGTAAAATGAAAAAACAATTTTAATTTAAATTTTTTCGAGAAAATGACATTTTAAATAAGGATTGCACTTGTTTCGACCTGTTGAACTTGAATATGTCAAAATATACAAGGTGTTTCATTTGAAAAAACAAAGTTGCTGGCATTTCCAGAAATACCGGAAGTCCGCCATATTGGATTGTAATGTGATAAAATCCGAAATGATTGCTTATATAACTGTACCGAATTTCAGAAAAATCCGTTGACGAATGCAGGAGTTACAGGGGTGGCCCGATACCCTGTGTCACCCATACTCATTTTTTAATGTACTTTCACCTTCAGAAAGCTCGGTACACATATTTGACTCACCCTGTATAGGGTGTTCGATTTGAAAAAAAAATAATTTTCCCTCATAAATGTGGCAAATTGAAAATAAAAATTTACCTGTTTCAGGAGATTTCTCGAAATTGATAGCTTAGATAAAAATGAATTTATCCACTATACTCTAAAATTGTTCTAAAATTGTTCTTATCCGTCAATAAGACACTCGATTCAGCGGTCACACTGTATACTTACAAATTGACTCTATGTGTAATATAACTTTGAAGTCATGGAGATTCCAGAAAATTGAGTAATATGTATATGGTGTTCCATTTAAAAAAATGTTTCGGTCGTCAATGTCGTCATTATTACATTTTTTCTTATAAATGTTTTGAATTTGAAAACAAAAATCCTGTTTGAGTATAGGGATTTTATATACGAAAGCACTGTACCAAAGTGTTCAATGAAAGTTCGATGATGAAAATATAGTAGTAGTAAGTCAGGTGAAATTTCGAAAATTTTCGTAAAATATCTCGATAAATGGTGGTTTATTCACATTTACGTTATGAAATTCGTGTTTTTCAGACGAAAATATGTACCTATATATTAAAGTAATGAAAACATTTTCGAGAAAACACTCGCATCACATGATAAGTGCAAAATTTACTACGTAGGTGTATATAGGTATATACTCCTACCTCTCTATATAGGTATCTCAAGAACGAAAACATGAATAAAAAGTTTGCAAGGATTATATGAGTGTATTTCTAATTTAACAATGAACCAAAAAAATGTAACATTATTTGTAAAATATACATCAGTGGAGCCAAAGATTAGAAGGTGAAAGGGGGACTGAACTCCCCGTATTTACGTCACTGGATAATGAATGGTTCAGAAGTTATAATGGGAAAACCAGTTTTGCCTAAAACTTCGACTTGAAATCACTAACTGAGACATCGTTGACTTCATATTGTCAGCAAATTTTTATATCAGTCCCTGTAGCGCAGCGGATAGCGCGTTGGACTTCTAATCCAAAGGTCGTGGGTTCGATCCCCACCAGGGATGCATGATTGATATTTTTTTTTATTTTTTCACTAATGAATAACAACTTTCAACTTCAAATCTTCCATCATTATTCAATCTCAGGGACATATTGTCCTTGTAACAGATACATATTATTGTTTATTTTTATTCGTTTTCAATTCTCAAATTTGAAAGTTAATTTTGAGCATTTCATAATAGAAGGTTTTGTTTTTATTACCCAACAATTTACTCATATTTTAATTGGGTAATCCGGAACTGAATTTTTTCAGACCAGTACGTTTTTCATTTGGGTAATGGAAGGAAAACATGAGAAATAAATTTACTGGGTGGGTTATAATACTGGTAATTCAACATATTATTTTTGGAAATAAGCCAAATGATATGGAATCTTATTTTCGTTGAAGAATGCTGTATTATGTGGGCGCATCTTGAATTTTATCAAATTTTATCAAATTGATTTACCGTTGAAAAATGACACTGCCACAATGCTGATTCTTCTAAATTGTTGTCGAAAAATGAACTACTTACATCTCTACGTAATTTCGACGTCGACGGCATAACGTTTTTGTGAGAGTACCAGTTTTTTTAATCGCTAGGTGCGCACGAAAGGAAATCCCTATAATATTCCAAGAACATCCTCCGTTCATGGAAATTCTCTTTAGGCAACGAATTCCAGAGCTTTCCCGTTCTATAGAGAAACGAGTTTTGATGTAGTGCTGTTCGACATATTTCGAGGTAGACAACGTGAGGATGTGCTGACTGCGCTTGTCGAGTTCGTTTGGCTGGTATTGCTAGTCGTGGAATGATAGCAGAGATTACTAAAGAATATTTCCCGTGGAAGTATCTATAAAAAACGTCGGCAAACCGTAATATTTACTCGTATATATTTACAGTTTCTGTGGACCTTCCACGGCGAACTCCGTATTGACAATTATTGTTTAGTAATTGATCGGTAATTGATGATTTTCAATAAACTTCTGCAATTTGACTTTGAATAGAAATATTTCGATACTTGACCACAAAATCCCTTGAGCCTTCATTTTTATATACAGGATGTTATTCAAATATGTGACCAAACATTCTTAGATGAAAAGTTCATAGGAACATGCATAGGTCCTGAAATACTTCAAGATACAGGGCGTTAAAGTTGGAAGTATTAATTGTTGTTTCTCATGATAAGCCTGTATGAGCTATCATGATGGCATAATCTAGTTCGGTTGGTGACTACAAAAGTCTCGAAATTTCAGAATAATACTCATTGAGGTTATTGGAATCAAATCAATTTTTCTTTATTTCCTCAGAAACTAAGTGATATTCAAGAATTCAACAAGGAACAAGAAAGTTGTATTTTCAATTTTCCAATCTGATCAATATCGATGAATATCGAACTTGGAAAAAACGATGACGTACGTACCTTATTTACCATAAATATCGAAAGCGTGACCCACTGCGACGCCACTGGAATCATTATTTCGAATCTAATTACACCAAAAGAAGCTTCTTGATACTGTTGACAAAATATCCAAGTTTCATTAAAATTGGAGAACATAATTTTGAGAAATTAATAAAAAACGATTTTTTATTGAAACTTTGACACTTTGTATCTTGAAAACGAAGCATTTGTGGACCAAAGTTTATTTGAAATTTTCGTCTTAGAATCACTCACATTATCACCCCTTGAAGTTTGGTCACATACTCATATATCACCTTGTATTGGTATAGATTTAGACGTTTTTAGTGCAGTTATGAATCTTTCATTGCTAATGTGAGACAAAGGTGTGCTTATTATCTTTGCAGCAAATCGTATTTTTCCACGAATACCATCAATGCCTGGAGTTGGTTTAGAGGTAGTTTTGAATATACTACTTCAAACGGAGTGGTTGGATAGAAAAAAAGTGTTTCGTTAAAGTGTTTGGGTAATTTTACTTTGTCACTTTATGTCGGCAAAGTGCTTACTGAATATGTTACAGATATCTTTCGTTTTCTTTTTTGACCCATTAGCCTCATTTATGATATTTGTTATTAAAGTTTGTGCGTGCATATTTAACCTTTTCACGATACAATGTTCTCAGGGATATACAGGGTGATCCACGGTGGATGTCCTATTAGAAGTATCTGGAGAACGAAAAGACAGAACATTCTGAAAATTGCGATTCTTCGATAATCGAACATTCTCTATCCATCTGAAATATTTTCATCGATACAGTGTTGCCACTTCTATCAGCAACAACTAGCAACTTTGTTATTTCGAATGGAACACCCTGTATTTTATTGCATTTTTAGATTCTTTTTAAACAGCTGATTTCATCGATGTATCACACTTGGGGTCTACCAGGAATGATTACAGAGACATAAGGTGTTCAAAATCGAGATTTTTCAATTTTAAGATTTTTTTGTGTCGAAACTATTCATTATCGATCAAAACGGCTTACATGTCCCTATCTTAACTTTTGATTGACTATCTACTGGAATTTGATTGGAAAAAATACAGGGTGCTCCAAGATTCAGAATTCTGATCACCCTGTATCTGTCCCAATTAAATGTCAGAAGATAGTGAATCGAAAGTCAAGAAAGGGACATGTGAACCGTTTTGATCAATAATGAATACTTTCGACACAAAAAAATCCTGAAATTGAAAAATCTCGATTATGAACACCCAATATCTCTGGAATCATTTCTGCTAGACCCCAAGTGTGATACATTGATGAAATCAGCTTCTCAAGGAGAATCTAAAAATTCAATAAAATACAGGGTGGTCTATTTAAAATAACGAAGTTGCTAGTTGTTTCTGATAGAAGTGGCAACACTGTATCGATGAAAATATTTCAGACGGATAGAGAATGTTCAATTATCAAAGCATCCAAATTTTCAGAATGTTCTGTCTTCTCGTTCTCCAGATACTTCTAATAGGCCATCCACCGTGGATCAGCCTGTATACCTAGTTTTGATTACGTCATTTTGTGAATTCTTAGCTAACTTTGACATATCACAGACCATATTATGCAGCGTTTTTAATTCTGAAGTGAACCATACTTTTTGTACACTATCTTTTTCAATTATTTCATATTGAAAATTGAAAGTGATATAAAATTCATCGAACTTCTCATCCAGACTCTTTGCATCATATACTCCACAGTTCACACCATATAATATACTATTTCAAGTGCATTTATTCAAAAAGTCCGAAATAATTCGAATAGTCGGACTTTTTTGACTTCATCATAAAAGTCATGACTTATTGCAACCATGGATCTGAGTTGATGGCATTCTACAGATGAATTAGAAAGATTGCTCACCTTGGAAATGAGCTCGTCGTGATTGGCGAGATGCGCTCGACAGTGGATGCAAGAATAGGTCCGATGGCATTGCGGCAAGTAGGCCTGGAACGTCTTCACCATGGTGACTTCTGCGCCGCTGCCGTTGCTGTGGCTGCTGCTGCTGCTGGACGCCGGGCTGCTGCAGGTGTTGGCTGCGACGGCAGGCCATGCGGATCTGTCACACCTGCAACAAGACAGAGGGGCGTGCTTGCAGCCGAAAACGCTTTCGTTCAGAATTTCTTGAAAATCTGTGTAATTTCCTAGTAATTCTTGAAGAAATCGATAGAAAAAAATATCTATTGTTTTATTAGACAGGTAGTAGATTGACTGCCGCGGCTGATAGTTCATCATAGGAATTCAGTCAAGGCAATCATTCAACATTTACTGCTGTGTGAAAAATATAATTTTTTCTCCAATTGTTATAAAACCTATTTCGTGTAATCTTTTTATTGAAAACTCCATCATTTTCACTCATTCTGCGAACCAAAAACTTTGACGCGATCATTTCAATTTGAAAAAAAAAAATGGGTATCGGCGTTGATTGATATATATTACGCTTACAGCGTAAGCGTAATATATCAATCAACGGTATCGGGTAGTCAAGGTCATCATCTGACGTTGCGATGACACGAAAGCTATACGGGAAAACATTTGTAACTCCTGGCTTAGATTGAAAGTTAGACATGTTCTCCTGTAGCTTTCATGTCATCGCAACGTCAGATGATGGATGACCTTGACTACCGCGAATAAATAGACACATATATTTACATATACAGGGTGATTCACATAACAACCGACATAGAGCAGAGGCATGTAGGGGGTCCCAAAATATTGCAATTTAACGCAACTTACCCCTATACCAAGTTGCTTTCCTAAGGAGTTATAGGCTTTGAAAGTGAAGTTATACATTTTGAAAAAAATCAATATCTCCGTTATTCTCGAACTTAATGCCACCAAATTTGGTGCACTTTGTGGATGTATTTAGGGCGTTACTTGACAGTAACTAGAAATTGATTGAAATTTGTAAAGGGGGTAGGCACACCATGAATATTCAACAGAATTTTGTTAACCCTTGATGGTTTCTGAAAATCTTTGCTTTGTTTTGTGGAAAATTCAATTCTTAAACTCTTCTTACTCTAGTAATTTTTCGAAAAACCTCATCATTTTCATCAAAAACTCGAATGACTGAAAACGTGCGCTCTAGGTGTGTTATTTAAAATCATCGAAAATTCAAAAGTTGGCTATGAAAATAAACGTCAAACAAGAAAGTAGGTTTAATGTAATCAGGCAAATTATGGCAAATTATTATTTAGATACGTAACAGTTTTTCAGATTTCAGTATCTGTACTCGCTTTACGTATTTTGTTACGTATCTAAATAATAATTTGCCAACCAATTTCTACTGATCACATTAAATGACCTACTTTCTTGTTTGACGTTTATTTCTATAGCCAACTTTTGCATTTTCGATGATTTTAAATAACACACCTATAGAGCGCGCGTTTTCAGTTATTCCAGTTTTTGATGAAAATGATGAGGTTTTTCGAAAAATTACTAGAGTGAGGAGAGTTTTATAATTGAATTGCCCACAAAACAAAGCAACGATTTTTAAAATCCATCAAGGGTTAACAAAATTCTGTTGAATATTAATGGTGCACCACCCGGTATACCCCCTTTACATATTTCAATCGAACTCTAGTTACTGTCGAGTAACCAAGTGTACCAAATTTGGTTGCTTTAAGTTCAAGAATTACGGATATATTGATTTTTTTTCAAAATTTATAACTTCACTTTCAAAGCCTATAACTCCTTAGGGAAGCAACTTGGTATAAAGGTAAGTTGCGTTAAATTGCCATATTTTGGGACCCCCTACATGCCCCTGCTCTATGTCGGTTCTTATGTGAATCACCCTGTATATACATATATATTTGCAGATTAACAATAATAGTATGTCTATGAATCAGTGTGAAATCATAAACATGATTATAATCAATTAGTTCTTAAGTAAGTAGTTTCAAATTCATGAAATTCATAACTTCATTCAACATCTTTCTGAATGTTAATCACTTTTGAAAATTGCTCATGATGATGACTTCAAGGGAAAAAAAGCTATTCTGAATTGTTCTAGGGATTACTTGATTTTTTGTTTATTTCCAAGAAATTCTTTGACTTCTCTCGAAATTCCTTGAAACGCCTATATAGGAATTTATTGAAATTTCATAAAATTCCTTGGTATCTCTTGGCAACTTCTGAAATTACTTGCTATCCCCTAAATTTACTCGAATTTCTTTGAAGTATGTTCCTCATTATTCCACTGGAAAACAGAGTTTAATGATCAAAATGATGGCGATGGCCAATTCTGTATACTTTTCAAGGTGCCTTAGAAATGATTTGAAATTCATTGGGATTTCTTGGATTTCTCTATAGAGATTTATTTAAAATTTCATGGCGTTCCTTGACATCTATCTCTAGGAATACCTTGAGATTTCTGAAAATCATGAATTGAATTGCAAACCCCTGCAAGTACCTGGTTTTTCTGGAATTACTTGCAATCTTTTGGAATTACTAGATTTTTTTTTTTGGTATACAGTGAGGATCAAACTCGGGACCAAAAGTCCGTTGCTCCCCCCAAGAAATATAAAAGGCTTTCAAAATTATAGATTAGGAAGATGAAATATATTGTGTTCTAATTTCAACGGTTTTCTCTCAGAACTGGTGCAAAAATAGTTGAAATAATAATTTACTTTTACATTATGATATAGAATAATCCATCAAACTTGTTCAAAATCCAATGTAGAATCTGATAATGCGATAATATACAGAGTGTTCGATTTGAAACTCAGTGATGTAAATGTATCTTGAAACATTGAATATATCAATTTTTTTTATATGTTAGATAAAAAGTTACGAGAGGGCGACGGACTTTTGGTCGTTATGTACGAAATTTCCAGAAATTTCGAAAAAATTTTAATGGAAATCGATTCAAATGGGAAAACAAAGCCACGACAGTTGAGTATAGTTCTTCTGGGATTGTCTGGAATTTGTTTGAAATCTATGGAAATTAATTTCCTGAAATCAATAGATAGAACTTTTCTCAAATCATTTGCAATATCCTGAAATTTCATTATCTTGGAACACATCTTGGATTTCATGGACTCTTTTGGACATCAAAGTTGATTGAATTAAATGAATGTTGACCAGTTGAGAACAATAGTTGTAGGATTTCTTGGGTTCTTCTGAACATTTCAAACAATTTTTATATATAAATATCATAATCAGTCCCAAATTCATTTTTCTGTTTATTCGACAAAACTGTTCAATATGTTTTAAATGGACAAATGAAAAAACTCATTTTGAACACCACTCCGAATCTGATTCATTTAATACCTCTTTATCAAGGTCATCTACTTTCTATTGGGTATCAAAAGTATATAAGAACTGTCAACAGACTTCGCCCACCCTGTATGTTTCATGGTTGATTGTTATCAACTGTTGTTGCTTATTTTATTGATTAGCAAGAAATGATTATGAGTATGAAAAAATAGTAAATAATGTGAAATACCTACCCTTTACACACATTACCACATGATGCTAGCACCAAAACAACCTGCAATATTCTTGTATTAGTATTCTTATAAACTGTATAATAATTGCAAAACTAAACTATGGTGCAGTCAAGAAGGCAAACAAAATTAGCAACATGCAAAAAATAAAATATGTACCAATCCTTAATCACCTTATAGCCCAACAACGCAGGAATTTGCCATTGTATAATTACAAAGAGTGTCAGTTTTGACAGTTGAAATAATCTACTCGGCACCTTAATGCCCATTTTTAGAGGACCTTTTGGAATGGCGAAGATCTCAAAATTTCGAATTATGGTGCTTGGCTCCTTTTTGCTCTACAGGGGCGATCGAAAATGTACTTTTTTAAATTGATAGCTTTAACGGTTTTTGCGTTGAAAATAATTGTGTTCCACTTATTAAATTTTTCTACAAACGTCAAAAAATGACAAGGTTCGCGCATTGAAAACAAATTGCGAAGTGACGCTTTTTTTCAGTTTCCTACAATGCCATGATACCTTGCACAAAACAATGCGCGAAGTAAAACAGTGCGCGAAGTACCTACTTCGCGCATTGTTATGTAAAATATATGAAATATTTATATTTTAACTTTATGGTCCTCAATCGAGCAAACATCTACGAAATCATTTATTTCTGAATGTTCAGCAATAACTTTGTTTTATCTCTTCGTGCGCACGAATGGAAATTCCTATTATGATCGTGGAACATCGTGCGTACCTAGGGAGGATAGGGGGAAGCCTTTTAAGCCAGTTCAACACTAATTTTTATATCAAGCTGAGCATATTTTTACTGTAGAACTATATTTTTTGACGTTTGTAGAAAAATTGTTGTTTGGAACTCGAGCGCGAAATATACTTTGGTCATCTCGACTACGCCTCGTTAAAAAAATCATATCTCGATCACCAAAGTAGCATTTCGCGCTCTAGATACAAAAATAACTATTTTATTATTTAAAATTATGAGGTAAGCGAAGTGACAGTGACAAAAAAGACACCATCTGCAACATTTTTATTAGGCATGTTGGGCTAAATCTTCATATTTTGGTGTTTACTATCTGTAAATACTTCATAGATTGCCTATTCTTACTAATACGCCCTGTATAGTATATTGTGTCCCAAGGGCAGAAAATGAGCCTCAGCACTCCCCGGCTATTAGCTGCACGTTGAAGCTATGGGTTGCTAAAGAGTTGTCTGCATGTGTGACGCACGCAACTGCGTGTTTTTTCGCCTATACCAAAAATACAAGAAAAACTGAAGATACAACAATAGTTATTTAACCAACTAGTGTATTAATGAGGGCGATTAATGATCGAGATATTTTAACGTGCGAGCGAAGAGAGCGCGTTAATGTTCGAGATCATTAATCGCCTTTTAATATACAAGTTGGTTACAAAATTTTTCCGTCGACTATATTTCTCATTTCTCCTGCAATGATGAAAACTTGGTTCGCGAATTCATCATTCATCCGAAAACTGCTATGAATCACCCAGTAGCCTTGTCACTGACATTAGTGACGTTTGACATTTGTCCAAATGATCAACATAGAAAATAAATTCCTTGTGTTAGAAAACAGGGATTAAAATCGTGTCAGAAACTTGGAAAGGCGAACCCGTTAACAGAGTGTCTTTCCCGCACTCGACTGCTTGCCCGAACTCCGCTTCGCGTCGTTCGTGTCAACGGCAGT